GAGAGTGCGAGATAAAAAGGAATCAATATTATTAAAATAATAATATCCAAGGAGTTTTTGAAGTTGTTGATTTTGATTTTGACATCAGAAATGCCTTTTGGCAGTTGACAACTGTTGTCAAAATGTTAACATAGGTTTTTAAGGTTGCAGATTCCAAATTATACAACGGAAATTACTTTGGAATGTTGGTAGCTGCCTTGTCGACACTGTCATAACCGAATGAGTGTATATCGTGAAAGCGATGGTTGGAGAATAAATGATTTACCAGTATTTTGGGTAGCAAAGTACACTGAAAACGATTCAATCTAAATTTGGTCTTTCCTGAAATAATTGCCCATTCTTGGCCTTACCCAAAAGTACCTTCAGTGTCCAATATTGATTCCACACCCCCACACTCCAGAAATCACAATCGAAAAAGCAAGTATTCTGTCATTATGACAGTACCGACATGACAGTTGGCAATATCTAAGAGGCGTTTCTGATGTCGAATTTTTCAATGCAAAAAAACCTAATACCAGGTACTTGATACAAAAAGTTGAGTACATATAGATGAGGCTAAAATAATATCAGTTCTTCATATAATTTTTTTTCATACGGGCCTTCGTTAACAAGTTACGGGCCCTCAAAGGTGAAAATTAAAAAGTTATTTTTATTTACAGTCTCTAAACCGTTAACTTCAGCATGATGCAAATTTGGTGATCAACAACACATGCGTACAGCTTGTTTTTGATGTTGTAAGTAAAAACTTCATTATGCCCAGAACACCAGGGACGGACTATGCCCAATGGGTAACATATACCTTTTTACAATTTCAATAATTTTTTGTTAATCATAGGTTACATCATTGACATAACGATATAAGTAGACATGAATATAGAACATTATGTTCATTATAGTTATATAGGTTATTTCTGAGGGCAGGCTTATAATAAAAATATATTAAAAGCACATAACAATTTTATTAAAGAAACTTTATATAGATAAGTTAAAACTCATTATCTTCTGTCTCACTAAGTAGCCTGTCTAAATCGGGATCTATATCTCTGTCCTCTACTGCTTCCAAATTTTCATAAAGTAAGGTTAAGTACACATATAACATAAATAAAGTAAATTTGTGAAAAGACAAAAGGGTATAAATAGACTTATACCCTTCTGATATTACAAGATGAGTATTCCAACCTATTTACAACTGTTATAAGTGCACTTACATCTATTTGATATTATGCAAAATAATTTTGTTCATAGTAGTAAAGACATAAGTCTACATAATTCATTTAGAAATCGGGCTACAAAACGAAATTGGTTCTATATAGACTTATATCCCTTTGGCATTTGATGGCAGGTATTGTTCTGGAGATAATAGCAATAAAAATATTAAATGGGGAATAAGTAGACTTATACCTTTTTGCTTTTTTGCCACAGTTTTGTTAATTTGTATTTTTGACCTAGGATTCGTCATTAGTGACCCCAAAAAATTCATGAGTATACATTTTCAGAAGAAAATCCCTAAAGATTTTGTTGAAAATATGTTTTTCCAAACAAAAGCAGATTTTTCAAATTTGCTTATTTATAACATTATTACAACAATTGATGCTTCTTTGTGGACAAAATTAAAGTAATGTTTTGCATGGGTAGGTAATTCAAAAATTATAAAAACCTCGGTGGTACAAGCGTTGAATTAAGAATAAATGCCAAAATATTAAAGAAGTTGAGGTGGTAACTTGGGTTACCGCTATGCCTGTAAGGGTTAAGGACTAGGAAAGTGACCATATTTTTTTTTATTTCCAATTTTTGCAAAAACTGATACTAGATGTTATCTTAAAAATCTTATAGAGAGGTCGCTTGTTCTAATTCCATATCTTTAATCTTTTTCCAGAAAAGACATATTCAATGTATTGGACCAAACATTCAATACAGCTACAATTTGCTTTCTACTTCAGCCACTTTTTTTGCTGGATTGTTTTCAAATAATTTAAAATCAATATTACGTGCCTTGTATATATTTTTGTTCAATAATACAAATGCATTTATTGTTTTATAAATATAATATTTCGAATCATTTTAATTTACAGGGTGGATCAATGCAAACAAAAATATTATATTTCCAAATCCGTATCTCGATTTTTGATAGGCACAGAATGAAGCCAAGTAACTTTTGCTAATTTGTAATATCTTTCATTTATTTTTTTTATTTTTGAAATGCGAGTGACACCAATAATTTGTTTGTGGATACAACTATTTAGTACAGTTAAGGTAGCAAGGATGACATTCCGATTAAAAAACTGATGCATCTTGAATTCAAATCTATTAAAGATTTCAGAACAATTTATCGAATAATTCACAATTTTGTACATACACTCACAGAAAGGTGAAGTTGACGAGTGTAGAAACCGTAAACTTTCTACTCAGCTAATAAATTACAGAGATATCTTATAGGTGGGGAGAATTTGTTTGACTTAAAACAATGATATATTTTTTTTTACATTAAACATAGGTATGCTGCTGATTCTCACTTTTAACATACTAAACTGAAAACTGAAGAACAGTGTTCTAGTTGCATATAAAATATAAAGGCAACGTACATCTACGAGTATTAATTGAAATTCTCTTGAATTATGTATATAACAAAACCACAGAACTGTGTGACAAAGGTGTATAAAAAAATCTATTTATAAAATTATAATTGTTCACAAAAAAAAAGAAAAATATCTTATAGATAACTATTTAAAATTGACCAAAACTGTACTTTAAATTTTCTTGTTCCTTTATTCAAAATATATGCAGGTATAAAATCAGCTAGCAACTACCATGTATGTCAAGATTCCGAAGGCTAGGTAAAAAGTTAAGGTATCAATAAAATCTCAGTCACATTACAGAAGCTGTTTACGAAAAATGTGGTCAGGACCCACTGGTCATCACCTTTCAACAAATTTTTCAATAGAAAGTCGATAGAAGTTGTTTCATATTCCATTATTTATTTCTTCATTGTCAGATTTCCGATAGGTTTCGTTTTGCTTTCTGTACGCGTGAGATACGTTCCTTTCTAAGGTAGCCGTGGCTATTGTTGGACGGTTGAAATGTTCGCATTCAAGTGGCCGGAATAATGTAGTTTTCTCCAATGTCATCAGTTATGTAAGACGCAAGATATATCGCTGGCCTCTCGGATTATTTCTTTATTCGAAAAGTCGACTGCTGCGGGAGATTACAACTGTTGAAGTCTTGTTGATAAGGCTTTTATCGGCCGAGATGTGAAATTTGAACAATTTGAGCTTGGAGCGAATAGAAATTCTCATAAAATCACGTGGATATAAGTGTCTGTCGATATTTTGGGTCAAAATATGATTTGTAGCTAAACTTACACTACTAATGTCATATGTACAGTCTGTACAATATTTGTTAAGATAGAATTTCAAGAAATGAATAAGCCAATAAAATTCTGTTATCGGAATTACTGCTACTACAATTTACCGCTGCAGGGGCGTGCCTTCAAATTTTCCTCCAATGTCTTTCTACTTCTCGTTTCGAATGCGGTTAATTCCAAGAAAGTGACGCATAGGTCTTATTGGAATTTTATCTCAACAAATATCGTACGGACTGTATTCCAATAATTTTTTTTACACACTATAGTGCAGTGTGACTGTTTTTGATTTTTTTTTATGACTGGTTTATTTTTTGCATTTATTAATTCAACACAGGTCAGACAAGAAAAAAAATTACTAACGCTTTGCCATTGCCTTGTTAATTAACTTTATAACAATTTCAGAAGATTTAAATAAATAAAAATCTATTTAATATAGAAATATTACCTTATTTTTATTTTTATTATAAACTATACATAGTGTTCTGTGAATGAGCACTCTGTATAAATATTTATGCAGTTTGTCTCAGGTATTACTGGCATCGTTGCAAGTGGTTATTGTACAGTCAAAATAAATGAGAATTCAGGCATATTTGTATGAAAAGCTAAAGGAAACTTGAAAATCTACTCTAACAATGACATAACAGTGCTAAAGTAATTTTTGGAACGTATCATAATTGTTTAGGTCAACACAAAATATTACTAAACCATATTCGATCTCACCACGTACAAACTATGAAATAGCAGAGATATTTTAAATGAACAATTAAATACCATGTATTTTAAAGGAAATTTCAAAGAAAAAGGTATTTGTTCAAAATAGTCATAACTTAAGGTATCTTACATTTATTTTTATAATTTAGATACAGGCATATTTGGGTAAATCTTATTTTTACTACACAATCACCCCAAGGATGCCAGTAATACTTGAGATAGCCTGTATATGACTGAGTGCAAACGTTCTAAGGAAACTTCAAACTTTTATCATAATTTATTATGTACTTTCGATTTGGATAAGTATAATTTCAGCGATACCTGACTCCCAACTTTTTTTGTAATATTGTTTTATGATTGTATCAAAATATTGGCCTATTACAATTTTTCTAGAAGCAATTTTTCGAAAAGTCACTTCAGCACTTTTTTAACAATCTGACTATACAGCTTTAATCAGTATCACTTTAAACTCCACTATCTCAAATAGCATCAATTAATTTTTCATTATTAAAATTGTAATATTTTACAGATTTTTTACTTTGGTAGCATTTATGATTTATATGTTATACAAGAACCTTATACAGTATTGTTTTTATTCAAAAATAAACCAATTGTCACTTAAAATTGAATATATTTGAGAATGGAAACCATTGGAAATTTATAAAAATTGTTAAAAATATTTAAATTTTCACTAGAATGTAATAAATTTTGAAAGTAAAACAAATTTTTATATTTTCGCCACAAAACCACACCAAATTATAGAAATTACGAACAACTTTAATTCTAGTGCATTATGGAGTACATTTATTGGACAAATTCATAATATTTACTAAATTTTTCAATTTTCATCAATTTTTAATAAATACCACATATTTATTACTACATTCTAAAATGAATTCTTACACTATAAATATATAATGGTGGCTAAATAAAAGCTTATTTGCCTTAAATCTTTACATATCAAGAAATAACTGCCTCTATACAATTCTTAAAAGTCCAGTAAATTGTATCAGTTGCCTTGTTCAACCCTTCTGAGTACCTTGCAGTACAGCTATCAGAATATCCCATGGCTTCTGGTAGTGTTGTACGTATCTCGTTCTGAAACGTCGTAATTTTGCTTTCCACATCATCAATCTTATCATCAAAGCAAGTTTTTAATTTAGTTCCATCTAGAGGATGCTTTATGATACACCACTGTATTACTATAGACAGAGATAGCTCTTCTTTCGCTAAGTTCAACGAGAAGGCATACAGGTGCTTCACACTATTCTGTAGTCTACACTTTTCCATGATGGTCAAATGGATACGATTGATACCTTGGTGTTCTTCAATTAAGCAAGAGGTTATGTTTGTATGGTTTTTAGAAGCTTTGTTTTCTGCTTCTGCAATAAATTTGTCCAGATCAGCTAACTGTTTTTTTACTTTATTTTCCGCGGAGTCTACAACTTCTTTTATATGTTTTTGGGTATTAAATATTTCTTGTGTTCCATTTCCCACTACCTTAGTTATTTCGACAGATAAGGAGAGGAATTTCGGAATGTATTGGGCTATAACCATAACCGACGACGTTGCGTCATTTACCTGAAATTAAAAACAAATTTTCGCAGTTAGAATAAGTTCACATGAACCTTAAAGAGATGGAAGATCAAAGTAATGGTAAAATAATGAAGCAGAGCAGTTACGTCATCAAAACCAAGCTTGTATTGTCCCGTAAGTGACTTAAGAAGAGAAAAACAGCAGTAAGTTGAAAATATAATTTTGTTGGGATACACGGTTTCCTGAATTATATAAGACAAAAGTTATTATATAAAAAACTCGTCAAAATAAGAATAAATTTGCATGTATCGAGTAATGTCTCCGAGATAAAGAATGTTCAAGTTGAAATTGCTGAAAACTTTTTAATATATTCAAGATTCTGAAAGATAAACAAATAGTATTTCTCCTTAGATAAAATTTTATCCCCTTTTGCTTGGGGCTAGAACATTAAAATTTGGATTCTTTTTCACAAAAATTGTGTGGTTTATTATTTAAAATCGTTATATCCATTTAGGCAGAGGAAAATAAAAACCTTTTTTATAACATTTTTGTGTAAATGTGTATAAATTTTAAAGTTATGTTCTAGAAATAAGTTAATACAGTTTGTATTAGGAAAGAAAGCGCAATTTCAACTTTATTTCGGATCCATTCTCGTGGGAACGTTTTCTTTATTTCAAGGAATTGTATAGTCAAGTAAAGTTTGTCATCAATATAAAATATGTTCTAAAATACACAAAATATTCAAAACTCTGTGTATTTAAAAATATCTGGCATTTGCTTCTATTCTATAGCAATTTTTGTAAAAATTACCGTGATATTTTCTGAGATAATGAACGATTTCTATTCTCATACCAGACATTCCACTATTTTCAACGAATTGAACATATTACTATAGAAAAGTAATTAGTAAACCTATAATTAAAGACGCTTTTAAATTAATATTGACACATTATTAATAGCTAAAAGCGGTAAAATCTATTACATTCTTATAGAACATAATATCTGCTTCAATTAAAAAAAGATTGACTGAAAGGTGTTATATTTGAGCGACTTCAAATATGCAGATACCTCATTAGGCGAGCTAACTGATATTTTATTTATAATAACTCAAAACAGGTCATCAACGAATGATGATCATAATAAAAATATATATCTGCAATTGGTCTTAATTTTTAGGTAGTAGGAAATCGTACTTTCTCTTTGCAGATTGCTCCAATATTGCAACCAAATATTTTAAAATTGTTTTTATTATACAAAAAGCTCCATAGGTATAGTCTTTCCGATCTCAATTGAAGAATCATGAGGTTGGCAGTATGTATCAGGTTCAGTCGCTGACGCAGCAACTCGGCGTTGAAATATTTGAAAAACATGTTCCCATATTTATTTAGCCATACTTATATACAAATCTGGTCGCTCAGTTGAAGAATGAGCGCGCGGGCAAACGCGGCACAAACACAGCTGCACTGGGCGACCTGACCATAAATTCAGGTGTCAATAAATGGCTTAGCAGTGCAGTGCAGCAATGCGGAATTTGGTGTGATTCAGGTAATTTTAATTTATTATAGGTACCTTCTATTAATCATTCATATTACAATTGCGAAAGGAAGAAATAAGAGGGATATTTTGTTTACTAATATCATTACAACTTGACATTTGGAGATCTTTTGTAACGGAACAAAACGAAATTTACCATCAATATAATAAAATTGTTTGAGGTCATACATAATTAAAATCAAGTGAATATATATATAATAGAAATTTTCTACACAATATACAAATTATTATAATATTTTATCTTTAGCAGAAAACTATCTTAGGAATGCCTATGACGCTCATTAAATTTTATTGCTAGGCGTTTTTATACATTCTACTGACTGCATAATTTTTTGCACGGGACTAGTATTTTGCTAGTAGAAATTGTTCTGCACGGGAGTGGACCGGGAAAATTCGGGAAATGGTCGGAAAACTGCAAAAAAATGTTTCGAGAATAACTTGAAAAGTATTGAGAATTTCACAAACATGCATTTGTAGAGCATAAAATTCTCATTTTTGGCAATTATTGAGTTAATTAACGTTGAATTTTTCTTCAATCATCATCCGAAAGTAGATAATAGATACTACGAACTTAATATTAATGTGAGTTATAAGAGTCTCTGAATTCTCCATATATTAGAATTTAATCCCCTTAATTTGTATAAACGGGATGATATATTGCGTATGTCTAACACGGACGAATAGCTGAATAGATTTCGGAGACTTAAAAATGTTTTATTATTATTATTATTCATTCGCCTCGACATTAATGATTTTCAATCGTACATATAAAGCACAAAGTAAATCGGATTTATAAAAATATATACTGGTTTATTCAAGTTAGGCACCAAAATATACGGGTGTCCCATAAGCACATGATCAAAATGGTACTGCGACATTCTTTGGCTCAAAAGAAGACGATGTGACCTAACATTCATTAAGAAAAAATGTCTGGTTCCTCTGCTATTGACTGTCAAAGTTCTTGAAAAAAAAAATATGTTTTTTGTAATATCTGGAGGATGTTACGATGGATTTTAATGAAACTTGCTGTGGACTTGTTCCTAAGTAAAACTCATGTTTTGATGAAGCAACCGCGTCCATCTTCCTTGGTCTAGTGGTAAATTCTTGAGTGTCTTGGTACAAGAATTACCAGAACTTTTTATTCGGTCCCTGGAATTAATTAATTTTATTTTTATTGATGCATCAGTCCTTTTTCGTGCTCTGGGTAAAATTTTGTAGCATTCATAGTTTTTACGCAATTTTTTTTTTTTTTTCAATTTTAGACAATAATTATCACTACTACTCAAGTATAACAGCTACTCACTACAATTACTACTATCGTAGTAAGCGATGATGTCATTTTATAATAAATGAATTGTCAATCAATTCGTTTGGAATAGCGTTTTCTAATGAAGAGATAACCGACTGATCAAAGTTTTAGGGTTTTGCGAAGATAACTTCGACGGGTATCAGATTACCGATTTACATGGATTGAAAAGAGTTTGCGGGAGACTGGGCAATTTGGTGTTTGAGCCGTTGACCGTGTGGGTCATCCCCAAGTACGAAATGCAGCCGTTGAGGGAGACATTTTAAATAGGGTCGCTGAAGATCCAAATATCAGTACTCGCCGTCTGACAGTGGAATAAGGCGTACCAAAAAGTACAATTAATCGCATCATAAGACAGCAGCTCCTCCATCCTTATCATGCGACGTCTATTAAAGAGCTTTTACCATACCACTTTGAGAGAAGACTTCAATTTCGCCCCTGTATTTAAGGAGCGTCGGCATGCGATTTAAATTTCACCAGCCGAATGTTATTCACCATTACGCAGAAGAAATTCCTTATGCGAGGCGTATTAACCACTTTCAGGTGGAATTTCCAATAAATGTTTGGACCGGGATCATCGGTGACATCCTTCTGGGTCCTTAGTCATGCCGCGCCGCCGCCGCTTGAATAGCGAAAATTATTTCAATTTTCTGACGAATACTTTTCCGATTCTAATGGAAGATGTCCCTTTCGATCTTCGTGCTCAGATGTGGTTCATGCACGATGGAGCTCCTCCGCAGTTTAGTGCAAATATAACAGCACATTTAAATAATACTTTTCCACACAAGTGGATCGGAAGAAGAGGGAGAGATGTTCTTGTCGAATGGACCCCCAGGTCCCCCGACTTAACGTTGTTAAATTTTTTCTATGGGGAGCCTTGAAGAATAAAGTTTACGCTACTCCTGTGGAATCCCAGGAAGAATTATTGCGTAGAATTCAAAACGAGGCGGACGTAATACGGAAAGATCCAAAAATGTAGAGGATGGCTCAATTAAATTTCAATCGAAGGATCCAGCTACGCATGCAGGAATATGTCTTGTAATTCCACCATCATCTATCGTATCTATGTAACTATCATCCAGTTTCATTAAAGAGAATTATGTCTTTCCTAAGTACGTCTTTACATTTTTTGAGTGTTAACAGAAAATAAATCTAATGAAGTAAAATGATATTCAATCCGTCGCATTGCGATATACTTTAAAGTTACGACCATTTTACTTTCAATATTGATATCCTAGGTAAAAGAATTGGCAATTATTATTAGAGAAAACAGAAAACAATTTTTTGCGTAAAAACTATGAATACTACAAGATTTTACCAAGATACTTATTACGATAGTAGTGATTGTAGTGAGTATTTGTTGTACTTGAGTAGTAGTGATAATGATTGTTTAAAATTGAAAAAAATATTTTTGCGTAAAAACTTTGAAAGCTACAAATTTTACCAAGAGCACGAAAATCTCGAAAAAGGACTGATGCATCAATAAAATAAAATGAATTAATTCCAACGACCAAATAAAAAGTTCTGGTAATTCTTTTATCAAGACACTCAAGAATTTACCACTAGCCCAAGGCAGATGGATGCGGTTGCTTCATTAAAATATGAGTTTTACTTAGGAACTTTGACAGTCAATAGCAGAGGAACCAGACATTTTTTCTAAATGGAAGTTAGGTAAAATCGTCTTCTTTTGAGCCAGATAATGTTGCAGTACCTTTTTGATCATGTGCTTATGGGACACTCTGTATACTATGACCTATCTATACTACCACCAATTTTCTTTTTGACTTAAAAATTGTTTTTGTACATTAATTTTTTACAGATAATGTAGGTACGCTATTAAACCAAATTTTATTATAGAAGTAAAGATGACTAATTACTAGAATTACCATATTTTTAAAACGACATACTAATACTGCCATTACTAAATATCTAAATTATTATTATTGACTTAATATTCCCATCTTTTTTCAATATTAAACAGTTTGTATTGCATAATGCCATAATACTTTATATATTTTTGACCATTTGTATTTAGTAAAAACATTTACTCGTATATATAGGTAGATTAACGACGAAATAGAAATAATCAATTTCTAAGACACTTGGATTTTATTTTCTGTATTATTCCATTAAATATTCCCTTCAGTGATTTAATAGCCACTTCAAAGAATTCTACTCCTGTAGCTGTTAACAAAAATATGGAAAAGTGAAAATGGTCCGGTCACGATCTCACTGATTTGGCGTGGATTGCCCCATATACAATTGCACTTGTGAAAACTACCCTATCCCAACAGAAGCGTATGATAAATAAAATCAGGTACATTCTGAGAAATGTCCCTATATCGCGGCGTCCAGTTTATTGGAGCACATTTCAATTAGTCAGAGAAATATCTCATGTATGGCTGCTGAATAGCAGCTCCATATATAGAATACCAATTTTTCCTCGTTAAAATTGTTCCGGATATAAACGATAAAGATCAAAATGTGAAATCCCCAGTGTCTGCCGGTATTAGATAACTATCACAATATTTTTATATGTTGACTATCCGAATTCTATTAGCTAATACCTTGTAATAATACATAAAAGTCTGCCCGTAAATAGCTATGATTTTTTTGTAATTAATTAGTAAAGTATAATACATTAATATTACCTGAATTAATGAGCCGACAAGTAAAAACAAGCACAGTGACCTTGTAACCATTTTTTTCCTTTTAAGTTTATGGACACACTGAACGAAAGGCAGAGCGTTCTTTATTTATATTTTGATAACGACCGAAGATAACAAAATAGATTCAAGTGTTACTATGATACTTTTGTAATGCGGTAAATAACAGATGCGCTTCTTTTACAAACCTGTAGTGATTGATTACAAACCAAATTATTATATATCCTTTGTCGTTCAAAGTTGAACCAGATTAATCTACTGAATTAAAAATAATAATAATAAAACTTTGTTTTTAACATTTCGCTAATATGCTAAATAATGTAAATACATCATTCTTTCAAGAAAACAAACAAAAGGAATGAGATTGAAATTCTAAAAAGAATTTATGTGACGTAAAACACCTGAACAAAGGTTTCTAACTGAAACTTCCGATTTCTACAACCATCACCAAAGCGTAATGAGGTTCTCGTTATATCAACACATCACTACCAAAACTGTAATCTAATTTCAGTCCTGGTGAATGGGATAAAAACTATCAGTCTCCTGCCACTTTGTGGTTTATTGTAGCTAACTTCTAAAGTTATTCCACAGGTTTAGCTTTCTAATAAGGCCAATATTCTAATAAGACTAATGTCCTAATAACACCAATATTTGATGAAATTTTGTTGATGAAGATGGAAAGAGCTTTACTTTGCTGAAAGCGAAAGAGTACATTGTTTTGTTCTACCGTTTCCTAATTTCCTAACCACAACCACCATTCAACTTCTTCACCTTGGTCCAGTTCGGGTAGATTCTATTGTTCGCTGTTGTAATTAATTCAGTAAAGATGTCATTTTATAAAAAAAATTCCAAACATGATAATTTTTTCAGGGTTGCTTGAATTCGAACTCCTGGTACAAATTGCGCTATGGGGGTGATTTCCTAAACATTTTTTAGAGCAAAATGACCTTCACAAAAGTTGTAGAGGATCAAATTCTGAACAACTTTTCCATATAAAATAATTTTTTTTGTATGTCTAATACTTAACGAGTTACTGCGCATTATGTGACAAAAATTGGTCTTGTAAACAAGTTTTTACAAAAAAAAAATATAGGGAAAAATTCTCTAGAATTTTATCCTCTACAATTTTTATGAAGGTCATATTTTTGTAAAAACATGCGTGCCCAATTTTTGCCACATAATGCACAGTAACTCGTTAAGTATTAGACACACAAAAAATGCGTCCCCTATAAGCCGAGCACAACTTTATTGGATTGAATCTGTTTATTTTCAGAAAATTTTTAGCTCTGATTTTTGATAAATCCCTTATAAAGATCCTCAGGCGAATTAATTTTGACAGTATTCCTGTATTTCCTCTCCAAACTAATTGCAAGTCAGGAAATTCTGGCAGTAACCAAATCTATACCAAGAACTGGTTTCAGTAATAGATTTCAAGACAGCGTCTTTCCTAGCAGAAAGTCTGCGTCCTTACCAAACCAATTAATATCCAAATTAGAATCACTATGCTATTATTCTATAATCGGTAGAATCTTCTGACAGATTCATTTACGCCATTTGATGGCATACATTTCTGTCTAGTGATTGTATATGTATCAAGGCTTACTGACAATCAAACCAAACTTTCGCCTTTGTCTTATTTTGGTAAATATACAATTCTTGCGAAATGACACTTAATATGATGTTTCTCTTAAACGTAACTCCACATATCATTACACCATTGAATCAAAAGGCATAAATGTGCTCTGACATATCTTTTTAATTGTAGAAATATTCAATCAAGTATTATTTTCATCTGATTAAATCGTCAATATTAAAGTATTGGAAGTTTAAAGAGTGAACTGTAGATAACACAAATGATGTTTCTCGAAGTTCAGAGGAATTTAGGTTTCGGTTAATAACAATGGATAAGTAATTTATAGATTAATTGTTATATATGGAACAAGGCTTTTTATAAACTAGGTAAACAAAACTGTCTCTATAATCATCTAAAAAGTAAACTATCGACTACATTTGTTTAAGATATCAAACATAAAGAAAGAAATGACAAACACTTGAGGATAATTTGACCGAAACTTATTTTGTTTGTGTTTTCTACGATGTGTACATTTTTAAATTAAATCACATTATCTGCACCATCATTTTCTCGACAGTGTCACTCAGAGTATTCTACAATATTAAATATTAAATATAAATGTTACGCAATTTAGTATGTCAAATACTTAAAATCATGCCGCATGAAACAAAAATAACCTCACTTTTTGCTTTTGTTATTCGTCTAAGATACTTAAGAGAGTGTACAGATAAAAGGCATCATGTTACAAATCTAATAGTAGTTTGCAAGGCTTGGTGAAGTCACTGCTCAGTCTGTCGAGATGGCTAAAGAAGGCAAGCCCTTTTTGGAACTCTCACCTGAAATACTTTCACATTGAGCCAGAATAGCCCTTGCACGATACAAGCAGCTATGTAAAAGAAATTCAACCTCAAATGACCTTATGATTATACACAAAGGGTCGTAAGGTCAACGTTAACATACGAGTATAAGGTGATAGTTTTATTGCCGAAGACAGTGCAAGTGGGTCAAAGACTTCTAAGTCTAATGAAGAGTTGAAAGTCTTGCTGTCCTATCACTAAATATCCCCATTCAAGGAGAATTTAATTTCGTACGTTAAAGATTACTAGAGGGACATCCCACCAGTTGTTCGGAACCATAATGGAGTACACTAAAAGCTGTACGATGAATTAAAGACATATCTGCTTTGAGCAGAGTCAACTGACCGCTTGGCTCCAAGATACAGTTTTCGAAGAACTTCAACATGATTATACCAGAAAGGAAATACTGAAGGAAGGGGTTCCCTGTTAAAGCCTACTTAGTCTGGTCTGTGGAAGGCTATAGACTAAGGGTTATTCACTTAATCTGCGAATAAAGCCACGGTCATTCAAGCGGAGGAATGGCCGTTGGACATATAACATATAACGATGTAGATAAGAGGAACGTTAAAAACCAAAGAATTGCTATCAATCAGCCATACTAAACAGTCAGCTCTAACAGTAATGCTCATAACATATCAATTATAGACTGCTGTTTGGATACATTGGGAATACAAGAAAGCCAGAATGACATGCTCTGATGAGTTACGTAGAGAAGGTTCATCTACAGATCTGCAATATACTTATGCAAGAATGGGTGTAGCAATGCCCAGAAATGGCGGCTTGAAATCATTATCATTATTATCATTAAAGGAGTTAACAGCAATCTGCAGATGTCGGTAAGTTAGATGGAGACTGCTAACAGGACCTTGAAAACTCAGGAAACGTATGATGGGCCTGGAAGAAGACAGTCTTTTTAGATTCTACCAGGAGGAAGAGTATAGTGCAATTGCAGGTGTGAAGGCCAGAATCATATTATATTCTGTTATTTAGAAAAGAAAATCCGGATACTGATAGCTGCGTCAAAGAACCACGGTCAAAGCTGTAAAACCTAATTACAAAATAGAAGCTGAGTGAATAACTTATATAATTCAAATGTTTGATGACACTACATGTCATGAAATGTTATTATTATTCTTACTATAGGTAATTCTGAGAAATTCAATGAAAATGATAAATAAAAAGAGTACCTACTTACATTATTTTTTTACTGTATTTTATAACAATTTATTCTTATGTGACATTCTATACCAAATTGCACTTGTGGAAACAGCTCTATTATAAAAAGCGTTGTAATATTTTTGCAACATATGTATTAACAAATATAAAAAATGCCGGTTTTATACTTTTCTTTATTATTTACTGAAAATTTTCTATTTACTACAGTGTTAAGAGCGCATCTCGTAATAGGGCCAGCGCCTACGTTTTTGGTACAGAAAGGCAATGCAGGTAAGTAAGTATTAAGACATAATGTAACTTTAAAAGTCTTTTAATAATACACCTCAGGTATGTAAATTCGTAAACCAATATGTGTGATAATTGATCGAAGGTATGTAATTATAAAAATGGTTCACTTAATACGTCAGGCGGAGAAGGATTTATACATATGATATTCACAGACGGTCTCTGATGAAGGGTGGTCAAATTATAGTAACTTTGTACCACCCGTCCATTATTCTTATATGTATTTGTAACCACAGTTTAAATCACCTCACATTTACATGAATTAAATTTGTGTTTGTAACAACAATGCCTAAGGCCAAGATTCTGTATATAATCTGGCATTTCTTATAAATCATCATTAAGCAAAATATTTTACAGAAATTTGTTCATTATCTTGATCACAATTTTCGTACTTAAATAGGCAATTAATCATTATAAATTTAGTTTAGTTTATTATTAGACAAGTCGTAGCTGCACTGAATGATTTATATTTTTCCAGTTCTTCCTTGACATACCATTTCTATAATTGTTTTACATATTTACAAAAAAGTTGCACCACATGGGGCCTTATAATTTATAATAAACACCTTCAAAGTTTTCAAAAATTAATTTAGGTGAGAATAATCGTAAATATACATTTTAATAGACATCGAAATTATCTAAAAATATGTCCCAGAGATAAGTACCACAATTTTAACTCATCAAATGCAACAACTTTTGTTAATTTTTTTTTAAAACCTTAGTTTTTAAGATAATTTTTTGAAACTTTACTACATATACCGAAACGGCTTCTAATAATAAACAAAAAGAGGCACGAAAGTACATTACTAAGGTGTTTTTTAATTTATAGCGTTATTTCAATGGTTAAAAAATACTGGAGAAAAATTCGATCTATTTATAAAATTTATTTGGCAAAAGTCGTTAGTTTTGATGAGTTAAATATGTAGTTATAATTTTGGTACTTATTTCTGGGACATCTTGTATGTGCATATAAATTCCTATATACTTTATTTTTGGATATAACGTTGGGTATCGAATTATTTTGGACTTTTCGGCTTGTATTAAATTCAAATACTAATCTCAAAAAAATATCCACTAATTTTGTTTCTGAAAAATTCGTCCTTTGTTACTTACTAATTTTAAATTATACCTCTTGATTGCACAATACTCAAATATGTAAGTAACGTTACT